TCCTTTTCCCACAGCTGAAAGTGCCCATGGCCGACAAACCTGGGAGCACAGTAAATTTCCGCAAGTTGCTGTTAAACCGCTGCCAGAAGGAGTTTGAGAAGGACAAGGCGGATGACGACGTCTTTGAGAAGAAGCAGAAGGAACTGGAAGCTGCTACCACTGTAAGTGATGTTTCGTTCCCCCTAAACTCTCGGAGCAGCCTCTGGAAGTTGTCGCTTTTGGAGATGGCAGACAATTTGGGGGGGAATTCTGTCGCTGTGACCGGTATAATAACAAATATTTCCTTTGATTAGCGGGTTTAAACCAGCCTCTTTGGGCTTTTCAAGAGAAAAAGAGTAAATGGGGACAACAGCCACCATAAATGCATGAACTCTGCAGAGTTCCCTGCTCTGTGAACAGGGTTTTTTAGGGCTGTTTTTCCGTTTTGCAGCCGGAGGAGAAGACACGGCTCCACGACGAGCTGGAAGAGGCCAAGGACAAAGCCCGACGGAGATCCATTGGGAATATAAAATTCATTGGGGAGCTTTTCAAGCTGAAAATGCTGACGGAGGCGATCATGCACGACTGCGTGGTAAAGCTGCTGAAGAACCACGACGAGGAGTCCCTCGAGTGCCTTTGCCGCCTGCTCACTACCATTGGCAAGGACCTGGACTTCGAGAAGGCAAAGGTGGGGCAGTGAGAGATGAGGTTTCTGGGAAGGGCTGGAAAAATTGGGTGTGGGCTGGTTTTATGGGAGGGATTTATTTTTTCTTGGGGAGTTTCTGTGCGGCATGAGGAAGCCATCCGCTGCTCCGTGGGTGTTTATCATGCTGGGACCTCGCTGCCTTGTCTGGGATAGGTTGGTTGTCGTTTTCAGCAGTGTTCTCCGGTTCGGTTCTTTCCAAATACTTCATCCGGGTCGGTTGAGGAACACGCTTTTCCCAAATGGAACGCATCTCTCACCTGGTACTTGCTAAAACATTACTAGGTGGAGTTACTTCGTTACCACTGAGGGTTTACATCACTTAGGAGGTCAAATTAATGTGGTGTTCAGGTTAAAGCTAAAAACACCCTCAGTAACCGGCCTAAACGCCCACCCGAACCTTGGTGGATGCGTTTATTTGGCGTCACCGTCATCTCCAGCAATGCTGGAATGAGGCAGCTGCGCTCCAGCCGCAGCGCTCCAGCCTCCTCCTCCCGATTTCCCCCCAAACGCCTGTGCAGCTCGGAGCAGTACGCACTCGCTGCGCTGCTCTTGGCACAGGCGGTCTCCCGCTCCGTCGCGAGAGCCAGGCTCGGGATGAGGAGGTGTTCGGGGGTTTTGCC